GGGACAAGAGTCCTAGAATGAGAGAGGACTTTAGTTTGGATAAAGATAAGACTCGTAGAGAGTTTATCCCAATCCTATTGGGAGTCCAAGATTAGCAGTAATCCTAAGTCAATTGAAACTAGGCTTCTATTGGGATTAGGTAAGTGTTGGCTATAAAAGAGAGACACTCCATGGGTCTAAGGTATGCTTTTTATGTTTCGAATAGTGGTTAAGCACTTTTGCTTTCTTTGAGAGATAACTGACTTGATCGTTGGAGTGCCCCCGGGTGGACGAACCACCGCCATAATCTCTTATTTTTGTGACAGGTCGTTCGGGCTTAATCTATTCTGCCAGTGTTCTCCAACTGAGTGCTTGATTAGCAGTGTGGTCGGAAATTGACACACATAGTTTGGCGCTGTCTGTGGGAAAGAAAGGAGAATAGATGGCTAACGACAGACAGAAAGAGAAGGTTGGGAACAACACCTCTACTGGGAGCGAGAAACACATTAACCTTGACGTCGAAGAAGACAACTGTAACGCAGAGACTCGTGATAAGAATCACGGAGGAAAGAACGTCGGCGAGGAGGGCGGCGTACCAAAGAAATTAGACCGGAGCGGGTATTATAACGAGGACGACCTTCAGGTATGGAATGATAGATGCTTGCAGAGAGACGACGAGATGAAGGGAATGACGAACAAATTAGCGGACCTGCAAACGGTCGTCAATTTCCTAATGCAGAACAACGTCATGCAGCCACCGTTCCCGTTACAAGATACGCGATTCCAGCGCCCAAGAAAGGTGCCCAGAAATGGGGGCAGAAAATGGTTCCTACAGTTCCTCAGCATGGCGGGACCAAGTGACATTCTCACCGGCCTTCGCGGGAGGTCGGGTATGGAGAATCCCAGAAGACACAATCTCGGCCTAGATGATTAGGTCCGAGAAGAGAAAAACTCAGCCTAAGTTAAAGACTTTTTATATAAGGTCCACAAAGGAGTAGGTGGAAGCTATGCAGAGGGCTGGAGAATGATACTTGAGAGTTGGAATTTTCAAGCCAAGATTGGTTTAACATTTGTTAAAATTTTTAAGAAAAATTTACAAGTTGAAGTTAAACTGATGTCATGTTTAACACTTGTTGAAATTTAAGAAAAATTTACAAGTTGAAGTTAAATCGAGGTCATGTTTAACACTTGTTGAAATTTTAAGAAAAATTTACAAGCTAAAGTTAAATCGGGGTCATGATTAAAGGAATGAATGATATAGGTTCTATAACCTCAGGATGTCGAGGTACTAGAACCTAAAGGGCAGTTGTGGGGACATAATTTTTGAATGACAACATGTGACCGAGGTGTCACCGAAGTGCTAGTCGAGGTGCCATGTGTCCTGGTTATGACGCCAAGATCATCTCGGTTAGGCCGAGGTTATCTGCGAAGATATCGGAATCCGGGATAAGCAGATAATGGACAAGAGTGTTAGAATGAGAGATGACTTCAGTTTGGATAAAGATAAGACTCTTAGAGAGTTTATCTCAATCCTACTGGGAGTCCAAGATTAGCAGTAATCCTAAGTCAATTGAAGCTAGGCTTCTATTGGGATTAGGTAAGTGTTGGCTATAAACGAGAGGTACCCCCATGGATCTAAGGTATGCTTTTTATGTTCTGAATAGTGAGTTAAGCACTTTTACTATCTTTGAAAGATAACTGACTTGATTGTCGGAGTGTCTCCGGGTGGACGAACGGAGTGCCCCGGGTGGACGAACCACCGCCAGAATCTCTTCATTTTGTGACAGGTCGTTCGGGCTTAATCTATTCTGCCAGTGTTCTCCAGCTGAGTGCTTGATTGACAGTGTGGGCAAAAATTGATACACACATATATATATTCGCATTGCCCTTATCTTTCCTTCTCTTCATAAATAAATGCTTAAATCCATGACTGCCCACAACCTAAGAGTTTAATAATTCAAATTTCGGAACAACATTTCACTTTTCTTGAGATATGATTACAGAAAAGTGTTGCTATATTGTTTCTCCAAATTTTTAGACAAAAGTCTAGTGTTCGTGAATCGTACTTACGAAGAAATGTCAAATAGTTGTTCCAACCTCATTTTCTAACTTGCTAACATCTACAGTATGCAAAAGAATGAAAATGAAAGAAAGAAAAAAAAAAAAAAAATATGATCTAGGTACCAAAAAGATTACAAAAATAAATTGATAATATAAAAAGTGCGCCGAAAATATTGAGAATTCTTATGTTTCAACCCTTCATATCTGGATGCCTAGCTAGCTAGTTCTCTCTCCCTCTCTCTCTCTCTCTCTCTCTCAATTTAGTCGTAAATTTTTTATTGACCCATCCCTTGACAAAGCATATGCCCAATTACGATACCAAATTCCTCCTTAGCATATCAAACAAGAAAAAATATATGCCCAAATAAATAAACAAGGCTAACAAAGCTTCAACTTATTTACCCAAAAAAAGAAAAAGAAAAAGTGGACTAAACTTCTAACTTGAGATTAACGTCTGATTTTGTTAGCCACTAACTAGGAAATAATTTATAAATATTATATAGAAATGATTTATTTTTTTTATAAAAATAAGTGTAATAAAAACTATACAATTTTTTTAAATTTGTTTAATATATATTTAAGAGTGCACATCAATAAGATCTTTATAAAAATTATATTAAATTCAAATTCATATACGAAAAAACGTCTAACAACATAACCACAAACATATAGTAAATTCAACAATTACATATAAGGGGTTTTGTTAATGTGGACAAAGTAATTGGCCCAGTGACTCATGCAGTTATTCTTTAAAATATTGAGAATGACAAAAGTTTAGGGCTTGAGTTAATGGTGTGACTGCGCTATTTCATTATAATCTAACTTACTAATCTACTAATATTCTGTTGTTTGCCAAAAATAAAATAATAGAAATTTTAAGAATATTGGTTAACAAACTTAAAATAATTATACATTTTTTATGATACACATCCTCCTAAATAATGAACAATTATTTCAAACTACTGTCAAGTAAAGAATTAAAAAATTAAATCAATTTAATTTGATTTTTTCAATGTATGATTTGATTTTGATTTTGATTTTTAAAATTGACAAATTGTACATCACTATTTGGTCTATGATGTTATAGTTACAATTCCAGTTTGGAATTGAACAAGACCCTTTATATATATATATATATATGTATAAAATTAGTTACTTACCATGAACACTCAAGTATTTGATTAATATTTCATATATAAATACAAATTTTACTTTTCAAACAAGGCCTTAGTTTGTTTAATTTCAAATTTCATATACAACTCTGCTGGGGACCCTCAGTGGGGGTGACCCTCAGTGACCTCCCAGTGCCACGTGTCGGCCTACCATTGGTTGAAAACAAAAAATAAATAAATAAATAAAAAAACTGTATTTTGGGCCAATCACAGAGGACCCCCAGCACCCCCCACTGGGGTCTCAAGCTTTATTGTTTCATATAATAAAAATGTCTAAGACCCCATTTTTTTTTTGTTGAACCAAATTGAATGATACGCTTCCTACGCACCCTCACAACCAAGTTAACAAATTTCACAAGTAAAATACAAACTTATCCTTAGAAAAATCAAACAGAAAAACTCATAACCTAGATAGTAGTAATACACATAATTAAGTGACTCTTCGTATGCTTCTAATGACAGATGAATATATATGTTTTGCTTGGAAAAAAACTAATTAAAAACCGGCATCTTTTTACTTACCGGACTGGGCCTTGGGAGCTCCGATATTCAGCGCACATTAGTTGTCTTTTTCATGCGTTGTTCTGTCTGTTAACTAAACACCGCCGGTGGTGTGCACATTATAAACCTCCACCCTCCTCTCTCTCTCTCTCTCTCTCTCTCTCTCTCTCTCGCTTTCGCTCTCGCTCTCTCAATGCTTCTTCCTACCCATTCAACAACACATCACTCGTCTACTAATCAAAGGCGAGTCGTTTTGTATCTTTGTTCCTGTGATTTTACTTATTTACTTGCTGCATTGTTGTTCTGAAGCTATGATTCATATAGAATTTTGGCAATTGTGCTCTGTTTGGTTGCTTGGAAAATGTAATAAAAAAAATTGAAGGAAGAGTGGAGAAAATACACTGGATATATATATTTGAATATTTGATGCTGTAGTTTTTTTTGGTGCATCGTAAGAGGTGAAATTTTAACAATTATGTTGTGTTTGGTTGCTGAGAAAATGTAATGAATGAAAAAGAAAAGATAAGAAACTGAAATTTTGAGTATTCAACTTTCTTCATCATTTTGTTAACTTGTGAGTCGTGGTAAAACAACTTAATCGGGCATAATTTGACTACTTTGGTTCGCATAGGTGAATCTTTCTTACATTTTCTCAGTAACCATACGTTTATGTTGTGTTTGGTTGGGGGATTTGAGAAGGAATTTGGGAAGAGAAATGAAAAAGAAGTGTGAAATTAGGTGAAATATAGGCATATTTTATTTATATTTCACCCATCTTTTTCATTTTCTTTTCCAAATCTCTCCTCAAATCTCTCAACTAAACATAGTATTAGGGTTTAGGTTTAGTCCTGCTAGGAGCACAGTCAGAGGTGACTAGATCATTTGGTCACTTATGCTGTCACCTAAAACCCACAAGAAAATTTTTAAAACTTCATGTTGTCGAAGGTCCAAATTTTCTAAAGGCTTAATTAGAAAATGCCTTGAAAAATTTTCAGCCGCTGCTGGGGACAGTTTTCTGCCATTTTTACCTGCAATTCCTGTGTTGTAACTTGTATTCTTCTTCTAAATTATATTTTTTTCCTTCTAAATTATTTGAAAATTCATTTCTCTCTCACAATGTATATATACATTTTTATGTAATTATGTTTGTCTATACATATATAGATATATAGAAGGGGGGGGGGGGGGACTTAAATGCCATTCTATAATTAATAACTTCATGAAAGTCTAATTGTGATTTAGGGTTTGTCTAACTGTTGTATTATTTCTGATTCAGGAACTGGAATATCTGCTAAGAGATTTTGAATTTTGTTAGATAGTAATTTCCACATGATGGAGGGCAATACAGTGACAGAATCATGGTTTAGTAACTTGTGGAGAATTTCGCCAAAGAGCGTAGTTTCAGAAACTGAAAACTCTATGATTGGAATTTTGGCATTTGAAGTTGCAAGTTTGATGTCGAAGCTGGTTAATTTGTGGCAGTTTCTAAGTAATAAGCAGATTGTTAGGTTGAAGAAAGAGATAGTCAACTCGCTTGGCATTAAAAAGCTTGTATCAGATGATGCCAATTATCTAATGGATCTTGTCCTAGCAGAGATAATTCAGAATTTGGGATATGTGGCAAAAGCGGTTGCAAGGCTTGGGAAGAGGTGCAAAGCCCCTGTATATCACCGTCTTGGACATATTTTTGATGTCCCAATCACCAATAATCTTAAATGGTGTCAGTGGGAATACAATTTGAAGAAGTTTGAGAGGAAAGTTAAGAAAATGGGAAGATTTGTTTCAGTTACGGCACAGTTGTATCAAGAGGTGGAATTGTTGGCTGAGCTTGAAAAGAGTCTCAGGAGAATGCGAGTACAAAGTAGCGTTGATTCAAGTGGGGTGAAATTGTTTGAGTTTCAGCAGAAGATTACCAGGCAGCGAAAGGAAGTGAAAAGATTGCGTGAGATGTCTCCGTGGGTTAGGACATATGATTACAGTGTCCGGCTTTTATTAAGATCTGTTTTCACTATAGTCGGGAGGATCAATCATGTGTTTGGGGTTAAACGATTGGCATCTGTCGAAGCATACAGTAATTCCGCACATATCAATTCTGAATGTTTACTTCGCAGCTATTCCGTTTCTGCTCGTATGCATACTATAGTTCATCCATTTGAAAATATGCCGCCTAGGTTCGATTCCAGATCTATAGGGAGCTCAATTTCAAATTGGGAGCTGAGTGGTAATGAGATTAGATCAAAGAACAAGCCCCCTTTATCGAAAACCAGAGTACCTTTTAAAGGATGCTTGATGGCTGGAAACGAGTCTCCTCTTCCGCACAGCTGTATGCAGATGAGGTGTGGATCTCAGAGATCAACTTATGCTTTCTCAAACAGCATTGACAAAACTAAAGATCGCTACGCAGTCCCTTTATCTCGCAGCAACCTAATTCATACTAAATTAACACTTTTCATTTCCAATCGCAATTTACTGAATGCCCCTCCATCCACCCTTGGTGCCGCTGCTTTAGCTCTCCACTACGCAAATGTTATCATTTTGATTGAGAAGATAACTTCATCGCATCACTCGGTTTTCCTTGATGCAAGAGATGACCTGTATGATATGTTACCCACAAATATCAAGATCTCTCTGATGGCAAAGCTGAAGTTGTTTGCCAAAACTTCAGCATCATCTGTCTACGATGCTGCTCTTGCAGCAGAGATGAGTTCGACGTTAGCAAGAATATTAGAATGGCTGGCTCCGCTTGCTCATAACATGATAAGATGGCATTCTGAGCGGAATTTTGAGCAGCAGCGTATAGTTCCCGGAACAAATGTGCTTCTGGTCCAGACCCTACACTTTGCAAATGAAGTAAAGACAGAGGATGCAATCATAGAACTACTTATGAGTCTGAGTTACATGTCGAGGTTTGGAAAATAAATTGACAAAAAGACTTTCAAAGAACCTGCCGGTAGAAGAGCTTGTGATGGATATTTGCTCTAACTGGATAGCAATGTTTACAGCGTGCTACCCTATCAGAAGAGATTTGACACTACCCGACAACTGACTGAGATCGTGAAGAGCTCTGTTACTGGTTGATCAATAGGGCAGCATAGTTTTCGCTCTTCGAATTCTTTGTTAGTGAGAAGTCATTCTGCCATTAGTTACACTGTGTTTGATTGAGAGATTTATGGAGAGATTTGAAAGAGGAAAGGGAAAGGGAAAATGTGTGTGAAACTAGATGAAATATAAGTATATTTTATTCACATTTTATCTATCTTTTTCCTTTCCCTTTCTCTTTCCTAATTCCTTTCCAAATTACGGTACTGTTTTAAGCACTCAAACAGATACTATTTCTTCTTTTGGTGTAATCTTCGGTTGAGTTTAGTTGAGATCCACAAATTTTGTTTGTATAATTAATAAATGGAGATCTCACAGCCACTTCCTTGTAAAATATAATTGTACCATTAAGATTTCTATGGTCTAATTTATGTTTTGTCGACATGTTTTTAATCTCAGCGAGACCTTTGTTAGCTAATCTATACACTTTTGTATGTATGGCAAATTTTACTTTATCCTTGTGGGTTAGGCTATGTGTGCCTTACCTCCTTAACATTTGGAAATGACTACGTAACTGTTTCGTGGCTTGTAGACGGAAGTGCACTGTTAAACATTTTTTTTTCCAACTTAACAGTAAGTGTGAAACACGTGATAGACATAAATGTATATGCTCATTTTTAAATTTAAAGAGAGTTAAATTGCACGTGGAATAAAGCATAGGGGTTAAAGTGTACTTTTCCATCTAAACAAATAAAGAAAATATCTGTAATTTACACACTTAAGTTATTTATATACGGAAGTATTTTAATCTTTTTTTATTAAATCATTAACGAGACTAACGGTGCATTTAAATTTACAAATTATGAAAGAGTTATATGATTATTTTTAAATATTAAAAGAATAAATCACACATGACTTAAATCACAGAGGATAAAGTGGAGTTTGCCCCTTACATGTAAAATATTTGCATAGGATTGTGATATTTCTCTAAGTGAGTGACCAAAAAATTTGAATAAGGTTAGAATTCTATGTACAGTCCTTGGTGTGGCAAACAGGGTTGTGCCACAACACAAAAGGATTATCCTTCGGATTGGAATAATATGAATATGATTTACAAGCACAATAAATATACAAGTACATAAAAATGTATTAAATATTTATATTTTTTATATTTAATGAAATTTAAAATATTTTTTTCATAAATATTATACTTTTTAAGTATATTTAAATTAGGTGTATTTAAAAAAATTTAACAAAATATTAAAATATTGAAAAAAATTACTAAAAATAACAAAACACAGAAGAAAAAAAAAATCACTTTTGTGAAAAGTGGGAATAACCAAACATTTGGGTCTGTTTTTTGTTTTCAGCTTTCAGTTTATATTTATAAAAATTTTAAAAACTAACATAAAAACGTGTTTGATAATTTTTTTGATTTATAAATGATTCTCTCAGTTTATAAATTCGAGAAAAAAAACTTAAACTGAATAAATGAGTTTACGGTGGTTTTTAAACAGAAATTTAAGAATTTGACTAACAATAATGAGATGAGGATGCAAAGATGTGATCAGAAAACAGTTTCAGGAGTTTTTCAGTTTCAGGAGTTTTCAGAAAAACAGAGTCCCGCTCGAGCTCAGGTTTCCCCGCTCGAGCGGTCATGCAACAAAGGTACACGCTCGAGCATCAAATATCCCGCTCGAGCGTACTGTAAAAGTACTGGATGGGTGAAATCTTCGCTCGACGGACGCTCGATGCCCGCTCGAGCTTGAGACACATGACTCCACTCGAGCGCCCAATCCTCCGTTCGAGCAGACTGTAAAACAGTGCAGAGATACTGGATGCTCGGATTCCCCGCTCAAGCGTCACTAGCCCCCCCTCGAGCGGAAGTGCAGAATCTGGAAAACCCAGATTGCACCTCCAAGCTCAATCCAAGTTTTAACAACTCAAAACTCGACCTCTTGGGCTGAATTTCCAGAAAACATTTGTAAAAACATAGAATAACATGGTTCAAAGCTCAATTTTGAGAAATCAAAGCCCAAGGGTGTTTAATTCAAATCCAATTTCAAACCATTTTTCAAGAACAATCCTCAAACATGACATGCATGATCTTTAAATAACTTTCAAGCTTCAAAACATGCTCTAATGAGCCAATTGATTCACAAACATGATGAAAACATGGTCTACACTCAAAACATGGACATGCATGTGACAATTTGCCATGAACTCAACTCAAAATCCAACAATACTAACACTCATGCATGAATGGAGTTCTAATACCATACTTTAAGATCAAAACTTGACTCAACTTTACAATTAATCATGAATCATGCAAGAATGAACTTAAATTCCACAATCAAAAGGTTGAATTCCTTACCTAAAGCTTGAAAGGCAAGTCTAGAACTTCAATTATGCAAGGGTCCTTCCAATCTACTCAATCTCCAAGCAAACCAAGCCGAATGAGATGAAACTAACTCTCTCTCTCTCTCAAGGTCGGTTGTGCACAAGAAATGGGAGAAGAAATGTTGATTCAATGTATAAACACAAGTCTCAAATGTTGCCTAAGTGATCCACTAGGGATGGCAAGGTTGTAATTAAGCCAACTATTGCAATTAGACACATTTTAATCTAATTTAATCATACCTAATCAGTTTTCAGATAAATATACCATAAATTCACATTAATTCTACTGATCAAGGCACACTAATCAATTTTGGATTCGGCCGCCGATAAGGCTTTCAATTAGCAGGTTAAACACTAAAACATGAATAGATAGTCAAACAGTCAAACAGATGGATTACAAATTAACATACATACTCAGTCAATTCAGTTCCAGTTTTCAGTCAGTCAGTTCAGTACTTTAATCAGTTCAGTTATCGGTCATGATTAGTTCAGTTTAACGGTAATCAATGTTTAGCGGTAAGCAGTGGTGAGGGTTATTACAGTCTCCCCTCCTTATAAAGAGTTTAGTCCTCTAAACTCGGGTTACCTTCGTTCTAGAAGAAAACAGGATTCAGTGGAAATAGTTCAGGATATCTTTTAGCCATGTCATCTTCCCTTTCCCAAGTGGCACACACGCTACCGTGGTTCTGTTAGTCGACTTTTACCAGCGGGATTTCTTTGTTTCTCAGTTTCTTGATCCGTCTGTTTACAATCTGTATAGGCCGTTCCATGTAAGTGTAGTCATCACTCAGCACTACACGGGTAGGCTCTATTACATGGAAAGGATCCCGGAGGTAGTCTCTCAACATAGAAATGTGGAAGACGTTATGCATATGCTCCATTTCAAGAGGAAGTGCAACTTGATACGCCACCGGATTGATTTTCTCAATAATCTCATATGGTCCGACGTATCTCGGTGCTAATTTGCCTTTGACTCCAAAACGAGTCTGGCCTTTCATCGGTGTCACTTTCACAAATACGTGATCACCCACTTCATACTCTCTGTCTCGTCTTCTGACATCAGCATAACTCTTCTGTCTGCTCTGTGCAGTTTTCAATCTCTATTGTATCAGTTTCACTTTCTCGGTTGTTTCATATACAATCTCGGGCCCAAGCAAAGGCCCATCTCCAACTTCTGCCCAGCAAATCGGAGATCTACATTTTCTGCCATACAATGCCTCGAAAGGCGCCATGCCAATACTCGAGTGATAGCTGTTGTTGTAAGCAAATTCAGCTAAGGGCAAATGACTTTCCCAGTTTCCCTGAAAATGAAGGACACACATTCTCAGTAAATCCTCCAGAGTCTGGATGGTCCTTTCTGACTGGCCATCTGTCTGAGGATGATAGGCACTACCCAGTCTTAGTTCAGTACCCAGTGCAGTCTGTAGGCTTTGCCAAAATCTCAATGTAAACTTCAAATCCCTGTCAGAAACAATGGACACAGGTACTCCATGCAGTCTAACAATTTCGTCAATATAGAGTATAGCCAATTTGTCCGCATTATAAATTGTCTTAACAGGCAAGAAGTGAGCAGATTTAGTCAGTCTATCAACAATAACCCAAATCGAGTCCATACCTTTACTGGAGCGAGGCAATCCCACTATAAAATCCATGGTGATATGCTCTCATTTCCACTCCGGTATCGGTAAGGGCTGCAATAAGCCTGCGGGTCGTTGATGTTTGGCTTTAACTTGTTGGCAATGAAGACATTTCGATACAAAATCAGCAATCTCTTTCTTCATTCCCGGCCACCAGAAGTTCAGTTTCAGGTCTTGGTACATTTTTGTATTCCCCGGATGGATAGAAAATCTTGAGTTGTGGCCCTCTTGCAGAACTCTTCTTTTTAGTTCAGTATCATTTAGTACGCACAGTCTTTCTTGAAATTTCAGTACATTATGCTCAAATTTGAATCCCGGTCTCGGTTTAGATTCTCTTTCCTCGATGATCTTTTTCAAGAAGTCATCCAGTTGCTGTTTCTCTTTAATCTCTTCAATCAGTGCCGGTTGAGCAGAAATAGCAGCTAAGGTTCCACCTTGTTCTCGTAAAACAATTTCAATTTCAGATTTTTCAAGGTCACAAAGCAACTCTTTCTGTCCGGTAAGCAAACATGCCAAGTTTCTAATCGATTTCCGGCTCAATGCATCGGCAACGGTGTTGGCTTTTCCCGGGTGGTACAAGATCTGTAGGTCATAGTCCTTTATCAGTTCTAGCCATCTCCGCTGTCTCATGTTCAGTTCTTTCTGTGTGAAGAAATACTTTAAACTCTTATGGTCGGTATATACTTCACATGTTGCCCCATAAAGATAGTGACGCCAGATTTTCAGTGCAAATACTACTGCAGCAAGTTCCAGATCATGGGTCGGGTAGTTCTTTTCATGCGGTCTCAGTTGTCGGGAAGCATAGGCAATTACTCTCCCATTCTGCATTAAAACACATCCCAAACCCTTATGAGAAGCATCACTAAATATAGTATAACCATCCGTACCTGAAGGTAAGGTAAAAACCGGTGTAGTCACTAATCGAGTTTTCAACTCCTGGAAGGCAGATTCCCTTTGATCAGTCCAGTCAAATGATATCCCCTTCTGAGTCAGTTGAGTCAAAGGTAAAGCAATTTTGGAGAAATCTCTGACAAATCTTCTGTAATATCCAGCCAAACCCAAGAAGCTTCGGACTTCAGTCACGTTGGTTGGTCTAGGCCATTTCACTACAGCTTCGATTTTCTGCGGATCAACAGAAATTCCATCTTTGCTAACAACATGCCCCAAAAACATAACATGGTCAAGCCAAAATTCACATTTAGACAGTTTAGCATACAGTTTCTGTTCTCTTAAGGTTTGTAGGGCAAGTCTCAGATGATGTTCATGTTCTTCTATACTTTTGGAGTAAATCAGTATGTCATCAATAAATACAACAATAAAGTCATCAAGGTACAGTTTAAAGATTCTGTTCATGAGGTCCATAAATGCAGCTGGTGCGTTCGTGA